CCCCAAAACCCCAAAACCCCAAAACCCCTTAAAATAAGAATATCAGTATAATTTGTGATTTAATAATTTTTAATTTAAAGTTTTGTGAATATAGATTAAATAATAATGCACCTTAAATCATATAATATAAATTAACTTTGAATGTCTCTTTAATATTTACGGAAACGTAATGATCATTTCATCTTCTTTTTTTATGTTCCTTCTGCTTCATATATTAAGGAGGGTACTAAGCCATCCAAAATGCAGGCATTTCTAGTTGATATTACTATGTAATGACCCAGGATATGTGCTAAAGGGTAGGTCTAAGATCATTTATAACTTCTTCTCTTGGCCTTGCTGGTTTTCTTTTGTTCTCATTATTTTTGTGAGATTTCTAAATGGCTTTTGTCTTTTTGTTTTAATTTTTCTTTTCTGACTATTCTTTAAAGTAGAATTTCTCTTAAGAGAATTTCATGATGATTGGCCAAAGTTACTTGATGAAGTCATCTTGTAGAAATTTATTGACTAAATCGGAGTTATTTCTATCAAACACAAGTTTATAAATACTCATTCCTTCTTATCCTAGAACTCTATGGAAAATGTTTTCTTTTTCTTCAAGAACTGTTAATTTTCTATTCCTTGGCTTTCCAGCACCTGAAAATTAAGAAGGTTCAACAAATCTCATGGTTGTCCCTAAAGTATGATAGAGCATGACGCTCAGAGCGCAGATTTGTCTCTAATTTGGGTATTCCTCTATATTGAATAATTTTAGAAAAGTTCGAGAAACATCTTGCCATTTCTCATGGTCAAATGCGTGATAATTTCTGCTGAGTCCAGATCTCTTAAATGCATAGAAAAGAGATTTCCTGAACCCTCTAAACAAAGATTTAAAACCTTAATCTTATTTTAGCTTAGGAGATTTTTTAATGTCCTAAACTTAAATATCATTGAAGGCATTAAAAATTTGCTTCTACTTTTAAGGTGGAGTTATTTATTCTGTCTAATTCTAATATTGACTATATACTATTGTATTAGTTTTTGATTCGATACTTATTTCTTCTCTTTAGTAGAATGTATCAGATACTTAGTAAATCTTATTTCGTTATTCCACTTAAGTTTACATAGTGAACTCTTAAACATCATAGATAGTATCCAGTTATTAAATCGATTAGGAATTCTATGAGTAGAGATATTATTGAAGTTGATATTCAGGAGTAACTTGTGTTTAGAACAGAATTTCGATATTTCTGGAGTGTAATGCTGATTGATTATAAGCGCAATCGTTGTTTTATTGAACGAACTAGTTAGAATATTGATCACCGTTTTTATCTTTTTCTAAATTTGAGGATGAGCTGTTCTAGAAAAAATTTTCTCCTTCTTTAAGTGGGCTAAAGTGAACAGTATCAATCATAGAGCCAATTTAATTTTAGGTTAATTCCCCAAGATAATTAAAGTTTCCGATTTTATCATCGTTAGAAGCATAGCAGTTTTACTAGTCATCAATGTTATCTCTAAATTACTCTTCTATTAAAAATTCTGAATCATTTGAATTCGTTCTTTGTAGAAATAAATTGAAATAGTCTGAATCACACATTTTCGTTAGGTTTCAGATTACCTTTTTAAATAAAATTTAATTAAGAATAGAATTGAGACTTTAAATGATTTTAAAAATCAGAAGTTTTGTTGCTTACTTATTATTTAAATTCATAAAGTACAAGAAATTGACCAATTTTGATTAAGGGGTTTTGGGGTTTTGGGG